AAAAAACTTTCCCCCCCCCCCCACCCCCATTTCCTGACAGGACACTAACACCTGCACTGTTTTGATGGCGTTTGCATCAAGTTCAAGAAGTACCTTTGTACCGTTCTCGCGCGTGCGCTTGTGGGAATAAGATGCAAAAATGTTCACCCAAGATTAGAAAGCTGACAAAAGACAGACCTTTGAAAAGGATTAAAAAAAAAAAAAAAAAAGATTCAGCTTGGAACGTGTAAAGCTCCGATGAACTGTGACGTGCATATTACCGAATGTTTGTTTGTGTTTGTATTCGGGGTGGGGTGGTTCACTAGCCTTCCGATTCAATTCAAATCACAATACTGATCTGACAATTAGATTCATATCACGACGATTGATTGTTTTGCGATTGAATGTCACGGTGATTGATATTGTTCTCAAACAATATATTGTTTTCAAACCCTGAAAAATATAGGCTATCACATAAAGTGCGATCACAAATAGGATAACTCTTTGTTAGCTGCACACCGTGGAGAACGTGCCAATGATTTCACATTAAATCTGAATCAGACTTAAAAACGCTGGACTTCATGGATCCCTTGGAGAAGAAAATCCCCCCCCCCCCCCAAGTAAACATGATACGCCGCTACATTTAGGCTTTTGCTGATAAGATAAGAAAACCTTCACTTGTCTGAGACTGGAGAAATTCGCAATTTACAGCAGCAACATTTGAAAGGAAGAAAGTAGAAAAACAAAATTAAATAAAAAATCAAGTGTGTTCACGGTCAAGCTCGTGCTTTTAAGATTCTTGCGCAAAAACAGGAGCTGGTCAAGGTGCTGACTGCTGAGGTTGCTCCTCTGAGCCGTGTGCTCGCCTGTCCAACACACGTTCAGACGGGGCACGTGTCCCTGGCACCCACGAGTGCTGCTTGGCTAGCTTGACCTGGAGAGGGTACTCGCGCTGGTTTTCTGTCCCCCACTCCAGTAGTGTTTTGTTTTTCACCTTTTCGTCTGGTGATGGGATCAGACTCAGAGGAGCAGCTTCCTTGGAGATTTTTTTTTTTTTGTCACCTCCTTCTGTGCGTTGTCAAAGGGTGACTTCTCTGGTGCATCAAAAATCAATTCTGAGCTTTGACATCGATTGATTGAATCTTATTGCTGTCAAATCAAATCAATTTATTGTTTTTTATTTATTTATTTATTTTGCACAGCCCTAATTTGTATACAGTAGAAAAACAGATCACACCTGCATGTAGTACAAGAAGGGTGTACAAGGCAATTCCCCCTTTTGGGATGAATCCAAATTTTCATCATCTACATCAAACAAAAGG